TCTACCGAGTTCACAAGGGTTTAGGGGTTTAGGGGTTTAGGGCTTAGGGGGTTTAGGGTTTAGGGTTTAGGGTTTAGGGGTTTAGGGGTTTAGGGGTTTAGGGATTTAGGGTTTAGCGTTTTGGGGGTGTAGGGTTTAGGGCTTAGGATGTAGTTTAACTTACCATAATAAGCAAAGCCTATAATTTACTATAGAACCCCAGTATAATTTAAGTTACCATAATCAGAAACCCGATTATTTACTATAGATCCCTGCTATGGCAACTTAAATTTAGATCTCTTCAGAAGAACCAAGTTGCAGCGTGAGCGCCGCGATCATTGCAGCAAAGGCCGCCCCAAAAGCGGCCTTCTCAGGGCTTGGAGATTTCTTGCTCGGGCCTACTTGAGGATCATGGGACTTAGTAAGGACTCCTTTTTAAAGGGCTCCTTAAAGGGATCTATAAGAGTTCTGTGAGGGAGGATCATGGGACTTAGTAAGTATGGTTATAAGTACCTTAATTGGGGCTATAAGTAGTTATCCTGTGAGTAACCTTAGTTACTAAGTCCCAGGATCCTTTAAGTAGTTTAGGGTCTGGGGGTTGAGGGGTTTGGGGTTTGGTGGTTAAGCGTTTTGTGGTTGAGGGTATAAAGTTACGGTTTAGGGCTCGGGAACCGGACTTTAAACCTCAACCCCAAACCCTAAACCCGAAACCCAAAACCGATTCGGGTTCAGTTGGGTTGGCGTTGAGGGAGGGCTCGAGGGGGCTAGAAAGGGTGCTATCGGTCGCTTCGCCATTCTTGATTGAAGACTTCCAAACTCTAAATAAACTCTCAACTTCCCTAAGCCCGGAACGGTAGGGTTTAGGGTTTAGGGTTCAGTCTTTCATGACCCTAAACCCTAAAATCCTAAACCCCTAAGCCCTAAAACGGCTCCAGTCTTTCATGTAGGGAGTTATTCGGGCGGCTTCACATCAGGAGGCCGACTTCACACATCCAGCACCCTGGAACCTGATCGCCTCAAACCAAAACTCGAACCCACGAAAAACCTGCAAATTCGGTTTAGAGTTTAGGGTTTAGGGTTTAGGGTTTAGGGTTTAGGGGCCCTGTGCCCTTGACCCGTCAAAGCCTGGAAACCGCCTCAACCTCGTAGAATCCTCGTACCACGCTGCAATGCAAGCCCTCACAATCTACTACAAACCCTAAACCCTAAAACCCTAAACCCTAAACCCTAAACCCTGAACCCTAAACCCTAAACCCTAAACCCTAAACCGGAACCTTGGCGCCGAGAAGTCTGCAGGGAATCACCCGGACACGGAGCAGGTACGTGAGGCAGGAGCTGGCTCGGAGGCCCAGAAACCTCTCGACCATCGGTTGAGGGCCGTTCAGGTTTCGCTTAGGGGCTTGGGGTTTTAGGGTTTAGGGTTTAGGGCTTAGGGTTTAGGGTTTAGGGTTTAGGGTTTAGGGTTTAGGGTTTAGGGTTTAGGGTTCTGTGTCATGGCTTTTGGGGGCAGTTAGGCTTGCAACTGCCTTTGCAGGGCGGCCAGCCGAAAAACTACACCCTGGACCCAGAAACCTGAAGTAAGGATTTCTATAACGGTGTATTGGGCTCTTTTGGGGTTTATAGCTATTTCTAAACACCGTCTAAGCCCTATGTCGGGTTTCTTTAGTACCTCCTAGACCCTTTTGACAACCCGTATAGCAACCCTTACACCTGATGGTACCCGCAACCCTTATAGCACCCTAAACCCCTTTTAGGAAACAGCTGCCCGGGCAACCTGAGATGGGAAAGCTCCTTCTCGTTCTTGTACTCCTCGCAGGGTTCACTGTGTTCGAACAATCATCCACTGCAGTGCCTGTATACCTACAGTACAACATACTCCGAACGCTATCCCGCTCATGACTTCTAACCATTAATGCCGGTCTGCTTTAACTGCGAAAGAGTTCCGGTGCTGAAGGATGAGAGTTCAGAGTTTAAGAAGAAGGATGTAGGGTTTGGGATGTTAAGGGTTTCGGCGGCTTTGGAATGACGGAGACACCATGGGCGTCTTGGCCTTGCCAACAACGGGATAGGCCAGTCACGTGGCAGGCGGGGGTGGGGGGGAAATGCGAAGGAGTCTAGGAAAGAACATCTGCTGAGTGTTGGTGACTTCAACATCCTTGTGGCAGCTTGAGTGCCACGGCTTTTGGCCATTCTTCGAATCTCCACTGCACTCTCAAGGCGTGATCATGAGCATCAGCTGGCCGTGTCAGCTGGTGAGCGGAACTGCTTGGACATGGTTGAAGATATTTATGATTTTTACTCGTGGACTGGAAAGCATGCAGTTCCGGCGGAGCAACAAGGAATATACCCAACTGCCAAGTCGAGGGTTGGGGTCCTTTCGGCTTGGAGTTTGCAACTTGTAAATTCTACAGACTGCACGGAAGAAAGCCTGCAAGATGACGGTCGCTGGGGATTGAGAGGCCTTAGACCCCAAACCCTAAACCGTAAACCCTAAACCGCCATTGTCCTCATCGATGACACCGATGAAGATGTTTAAGACGAAGATTGAGAAGAAGAGGACTCCCCCGTAGAGAACCAGCAGTTCCAGGCCGTCTTCCGGCTCATGCTCAGGCAGGCCCTGCGAGGCTGTCGGGGGTTCAGGGGTTAGGGTTTTAGGG